AGTCTCAGTGTGCATGCACAAAACACTTTTCAGGAAAAGAAAAGAAGAGATATTACTGAAAAATGTTGTCTAGAATTGATGCAGCACAGTCTATATTTTAAAAATTGCAGGTTTTTGTAAAAATTGAACTACACTTTGAAGGTGCTCCTGGCATTGAAGGTGCTAAGGGCGGAAGGTACTGATGGTGCTCCTGGCGATGAAGGAGCTGAGGGCAGAAGGTACTGGTGGTGCTCCTGGCGATGAAGAAGCTGATGGCAGAAGGTTCTGATGGTGCTCCTGGCGATGAAGATGCAAGCGTTGAAGGTGCTGATGGTGAATCCCAAATCTGTAAACAAACAAAAATATCAACTAAAATTTATAAACATATAAAAAGTCTCAATATATACCTTAAGAATGTGACTAAACCGCAGCTGTTTTGCAATCTAAAAGAAGAAATTACATTATAATCACATAAATTTGTTAAATACGTATTCTTACCTTCAAAATTTTGCAAAGTGATATTTCCTCACAGTATGTATACTGTCATCAACACTCCGATGTTTCTAACTTGCTCGCTCTAACGCATAGAATTCTTATTAGAATACGAATTGGTATCGGGTATGTAGCTCTAACAAAGGGGCATTGTTTTGACAGTTCGAAGAAAAAATTTGTAAGTGTGTGGGTGAGATGACGAAAAAGTTATGAATGTGTTTGTAAATCGTTTGAATTTCAGGGGAAAGTGGTGAGCCGTGTCTGGCAGGGTACGTTTTCGATGTTTGCATTATGGGAGTAAAAGATGTACTGACGAAATGTATGAATCGCGTTTTAAAACTGCTACACGTTCAATATTTATTGACGGTATTGCGATCCGCGATCTAGATTTCAAAATTTTTAGAAATTTTGCGAAGTGGATCACGATCTATCAATCCTGCATCCAACGCCGTCAATAAATATCGCGATACTAGGATCACGGTAATAAATACTCACCGTGTGACAGGGCCCTATAAGGCTGAAACGATACGAGTAATCGATACCTTTCATTCGATACCTAACCTAAAAGTAGGAATGTTCGATATCGAATCGATTATTCTCAATATCGATGTTTGATGTTGCGATAATCGATTATTTGAATCGATATTCCCAGGTCGATATATCAAAGACATGGATACTTTACCCGCAATATCCACCCAAAAACATTTCGGCCCACTTGCGCAATATCCAAGGTTAAATTTATAAATTCAGAGTTAAGTAACCTAGAGTTAAACTGTTATTTTTATAACCCCAGCAGTGCATTGCAGAACAGATATTTTAAGCCGAATTAGTCAACTCTGTCTACTTGCGGGTATTTTTGATTTTGGTTGGCATCACTGACTCCTGTTTGCATCATTTGTTTTGGTTATTCATATTCGTCAGCTGTTTGAAAATTAGAACTTCAGTAATTTCAGTGAAAGCTGCTTGAATTTAGAAAACTTTCGTAAGTATCAAAATATAATGCAATAAATGACTACTTACAAGTTTAAATTATTAAATCTTCATATAAATGTATTAGATACTGCAAGCATTCCCGAGACTCTGGAGACATAGGAGACCAGGATCAGGATTTCTCATTCAATACATTACGTTAATTCAGGTAAGCAAAAACCTGACGTTTATTAATTTTACACAGCGTAAACTTAAATTTCTTGGATATTTTCGTTAAAGAACTATTTACATCTTTTAAATTGTAGCCAATGATGCAAGACGAAGCGAAACCGCGGCTCCGTGCTCCAAGTTTCACCATGGGTGAAAGTTTGCTTTTGTGCGACATTTTAAAAAAGCACAAGCACATTATTGAAAACAAAAGGACCGACGGAGCTAGCCTCAAAGAAAAACAAAAAGCGTGGATGGAGGAGGCTAGCGAATATAATTCCACCACAACAGGTTACATCCGGACAGTAGATAGCCTGCAGCAAAATTATAAAAATATTAAAAAAAGACAAAAAAAAACAAGCATCTAGTGCCATAATGGGTATTCCAGGTATGTAAATGTTATACAACTTTACATAGTTTCATAATAAAAATAATTTTGCTTTCATAGTTGATAGAACTAATATTATAGAGATGGTAGAGGAGCATGGTACGTCTCCTGACGGATGGGAGAAAATTGCCAACAGCACTGGTGTTCCAGCCGACACTTGTCAGGAAGTTTTTTTGGAGATGGTAGAGGAGGCAGATGCGCAAGAAAGAGAGTTAAAGAGAAACACCTTGCGTACAGGTGAATATAAATTTATTACTTTAAATGTTTACAAGATAACTTTTCAATTGCAACTTACAGGCGGGGACCTTTACCAAAAGGCAATAACGATTCTCGTATCGATAAAGTAAGAGGTTTAGTTCGGCCTGCCATTGACGGATGCTATACAGTGTATGATGGTGATAGCAGTCTGATCACAACTCAGGAGGGCATAGTACCGATTGAATCATCGTTTAACCATGCAGGTAGCCTTACTGACTTCTATGTTTGGGATTTAATTTGTGTACATACATATTTATATCTGGGAATTTAATTTTTCAGATGAAGTTCCTGAAAAAGAAGCAACCGAAAAGACTAACCATGTTGTAGCCGCTACAACAACAACAAACCATGATGAATCGGACTACTTCACAAACGACAGAGCCAATTTAAAAAAAGAGTCCTCATCCTTTGTTGACCCGTGAGTATCAAATGTTTGGTTAATGTCAAGTTATGTGTCGGTAATGATTTCTGCTTTAATTTTTAGGAAAGAGACAACTTTCGTCAGCAGGAAAAGAAACCATTTCCGAAAAGTTCAGAGTACTGGCGTCTGAAAAGTTGGGATTAGTATCGGCTCAAAAGGAACTATTACAGGTACAGTTAACAGAAGAGGAGGAAAAACTAGAACATAACCGTTTGTTAAGGAAGATGCCGATGGAAGAAGCAAAAAGGCAGTATGAGGAGAATGAAGAAAAATTAAAGCATGACCGGTTTTTAAGAAAACTCGAAGTTGAAGACGCGCAAAAAAGGTATGAGCATAACGAAATAAATACAAAACTTCAGCTGGAAAAGTACAAACAATGAGAATTTTATTTATAACTTTCCTACCATAAGCTTAAACGAATTTTATTTTATTATTAGGAAATGCATACACTTGTGGTCGGCTGATTAAGTTAAATCACATTTTGACCAGTTTTGGCTATTTTTCTCTTGTCTATTTAATGATTATTTTTTTTTTTTATAAACGCTTAGAACATTACATAACCAGCACCACATAAATCCACATTTCAAACTTCGTATAAAAATTATAAAAATTCATCAAACTTTAACAATAACAACCAAAAATTTTTAACTTTTTATTTTAGAAAAATTTGCACTTTAACCTACTAAAATTCAACCGGCTATGAAACTGCATATTTTTCTTTTTTATTTTTATAAGATATGTAAATATGCAAAGTATTTTATTATAATTTTTTTCGATAATTTTTTACAAAAATATAGTTCACTCTACACCAAAGGACATAAAAATAAAATCTCTAAAATTTGTGCAAAACTCAGGAAAATTCAATAAATTTGCACACATTTTTCAACTTTCTATTCATATTTTTAGAAAAATTTGTGGTATGCAGTTTTATAGCCCATTCAGTTATGGTATAACAAAGTGCAACTTTGAAGTTGCTGGAAAATCGCGTTGGTTTTTGGTAATTTTTTTCACGAAGGTTCTTCCAAACGTAGTTGTTGTTGTTGTTGTAGCGGCTACAACAACCCCGCCCAGGTCGGTTGGTATCTCAGTCGTTGTCGTCAAGTTCCACTAACGGCAGCCATAGAAAGCGTGCAGCTTCTGCAGGGTCGGTCCACAGGGACAAGGCCGTTAGGGTTGTCGGGTTTTCCGGGCATGCGAAGAGATTTTTCGAGTCATGTGGGGTCTCTCCGCATGCCGGACACTCATTTGGCACATCCTCATTCAATCTACTCAGGAGTTTAACCTGCTGCTGTAGCCGGACCGAAGTTGTGCTAGTGTCGTTCTCGTCTCCCGAGGCAGATGAAGCTCCGTCTCGTCTGTGTCCGGGGGCGGTGTGCCTAGAACGGTATTCATAGGTCTAGAGTCTACATAACTCAGACTGACTCCCTGTGAATGCCGTTCAGGGCCAGTCGGTAAGCTGTCGGGTCCAGAGGTTGCTTGATGAACCTCTGGACCTCGTCCGTCAGTTCATATAGATGCCTCCTGACGTGCCTAGGCGAGGGCTCCTCTGCAAGCAGCTGTCTGTTTGGGTGGCCACTTCTGTGGCTCCCGACCACGAACTGCTTGCAGAGCATGATGTTGTGCTCCTTTACGGGGAGCATTTGCGCCTCGCCGTGAAGATGGTGTTCGGGTGACATCAGGAGGCATCCTGTCGCTGTCCTGAGTGCGGTGTTCTGTGCAGTCTGTAGCTTCGTCCACTGCGTCCTACTAGTCCCCGGCGACCACCCTGGCGCTGCGTAGTTCAAAACCGGCCGGCCTATTGCCTTGTATGTTGCCAGCAACGTTTCTTTGTTTTTGCCCCAAGTGCTGCCGCTTGAGGACCTTGTTGCGGCTCTGTACTTTATTGACAATAGCGGTTGCGTGCGCAGAGAACGAGAGCAGGCTGTCGAGTGTTACTCCGAGTATTTTGGGGTTATTCACTGTCGGAATTGGTGTATCATCGACGTGAATTCCCAGCGGTAGCCTGACCTCCTTCGTCCAGGTTATGAACAGGGTCGCAGAGGATTTCGTAGGGAGAGGGCTAGACACTTTGCAGTGAAGAAGCGAGAAAGTTCGGAGAGATACCCGTTTACTTTCGAACACAAGTCATCAATTCCATTACCAGTCGCCATGATCGAGCAATCGTCGGCATAAGAGACAATCGAGACTCCCTTTGGTGGTTGAGGGAGCTTTGAAATATAAAAGTTAAACAGTAGCGGGGAAAGGACACCACCCTGTGGAACCCCCTGTTTTATTTTCCTCTGTTTACTCGTTTTTTCTCTAAACATTACCGACGAATGTCGACCACTCAGATAATTTGCCGACCACAGTTTGAACCTCTGTGGGAGAGGAGGCCTCTATATCTTCTAGTAGCGTGGAATGGCAGACGGTGTCAAACGCCTTTGACAAGTCCAACGCTACTAGAATCGTTCTCTCACAGGGACGGTTTCGGCTAAGGTCACGAGTTATCTGAGTGTTTATGGCGTTAAGTGCTGTTGTTGTGCTGTGCACTTTAGGGAAACCGTGCTGATGCTTCGCTGGGGTCAAGTGGTTTGTGAAGTACGGGAGTAGCAAGGCCTCGAGTGCCTTCGCTACCGGGGAAAGGAGCGCTATCGGGCGATAAGAATCTCCTTTGTTGGCAGGTTTCCCTGGATTGAGGACCTCTGGTAGGTACGCTACCCCCGCAGGACCCAAATTTTTCAGCATCAGCATGCATATTCCGTCGGGACCCATGGCTTTGGAGGCTTTCGTCTTCCCGATGGCCACCTGAACTTCACCGCAAGTGAAAGCAAGGGGGGCACAGGTTGTTGGCAGTTTGTGCAACCTTCTGGTCATTCGACGCTTGGCTTTGTCCACCGGAGGATGCAGTATGAACTGCCGGCTAAAATAGCTCGCGCATCGCTCCGGGTCCGACGAAGCATGGTCGCCGAAGGAAATTTCGACTCTGTCGTCGTGCTTCGTCGGATTGGACAGCGACCTCAGGGTTGACCAAAGCTTGCTCACACCAGAGGTGAAGTTACAGGTCTTCAGATGCTCCTCCCACTTCTTCCGCTTATGTACGTTTACTAGTTGCCGAATCTCCGCGTTGAGATCCCTGATACGGGGATCTCCGGATCGGCCTGACGAAGGCTATCACGCTCATCGGCTAGAACAGCCGCTTCGGCAGGGAAGTTTGGACGTGGGTCCGTTATACATCCTGCCGGTATGAAGCGAGCTGCAGCAGCAGTGACAGCCCTGCGGAACTTACGTTCACCGAGATGGACGTCGGTTGGTGTGGGGAGCGCTGTGAAGGTGTTTTCGGTAAACTCCGCGTAACCTTTCCAATCAGCTTTAGAAAAGTTGATATAGGTCCGGTGTTTGGCGGAGGCAAAGTCGGTTGGTTTATCTGTATAGATGACTATGGGTATGTGGTCTGATGCTAAAGTCAGCATAGGTCGCCATGTTATGCTGTTTATCAGACCAGCGCTGACTATGGTGATGTCTGGCGAGCTACTGCAGTTACCCATAATCCTGGTGGGTGCGTCGTCGTTCATTGTGCAGAATGTCGAATCGTCTATCTGCTCAGCCAAGTCTGTTCCCCTACGATCGTTTGACAGGCTTGAGTGCCAAAAATCGTGGTGCGCATTAAAGTCACCTACTACCATACGGTTTTCACCTCTGAGGAGCGCACCTATATCAGGGTGATATCCTGCCGGGCAGCAGGTGACAGGGGGTATGTATATATTAAATATTTCGAGCTCGACATCGCCTGACCGGATAGCTATGCCCTGACATTCTAGGGTGGTATCCCTGCGGTCGATGTCTGCTTCGATAAGACGATACTGCACGGTGTGGTGCGTGATGAACGCTAAGCCACCACCATTATCTCGCTCGCGATCTCGACGGTGCACGTTGTACCCGGCGCAATTCAACAGAGTTGAATTGCTGTGCAACTTCGTCTCTTGGACCGCAGCTATTAATATACCGTGCCGACACATGAAGACGGTTATCTCCTCAATCTTGCTCTGTAGCCCGTTACAGTTAAATTGGAGGAGCTTCATGTGGTTCGGGAGACGTGTCGTGATGTGGGGTGTGAGTGAGGTGTATGTTCTTGCCGCCGTTGGCTGTGTGTGCTGCTGAGGTGGTTGCCGCCCTGTGGTGGTGGTCGGGGGCGTCGCAATTGACGTCTGCGACCGAGCAGCACAGCACGGGCCCTCGAAATTCCCCGTCCAATCTCGCGTGGTACGCAGACCTGAACATGCCCTAAAGTGGCACCAGCCGAGGCAGGTGTTGCACTTGACTGATGTCACATTACGGAATATTCTGGTCTGACATACCGTGCAGATTGTAGGGGGAACCAGGAGTTGTTGGCGGCGGCGTGTGGGTGGTGGTGCGGTTGTGTGAGTTATGTGGTCTGTGGTGGCTGTGGTACGGTCTGTGGTGTTGTTATGTTGTTGTGTAGTGGCGACTGTGTGTGGCTGCTGTGTGAGTGTGTGGGGCTGCACGGGCGGACTATCGTTTGCCGTGGAGGCTGCTCTGTTAGAGCAACAGGGGGCCACGTAAGACGTGGTCCACTGCCTGTGTGTCCGTAGTCCCGAGCAGACCCTGAGGTGACTCCACCCCTCGCAGGCATTACACTTGACTGAGGTGGAGTTGTGGTGTAATCGTCTTCGGCATACACAGCAGGTGTATATTTCTGGCCCAGGGTTTGACTCGATGCCAGCCCTGAGTAGGAGAATGCGTAGTGTATGTTGCCCTATGGACGGACAACTTCTGAGATCGCCGAAACAACAGCCCTTGGTCGGGTGAAACCCGAGTCATTCCGGTACGTAGAACCGGCTGTCGTGGGAATGGGCGCTGTGTGGTCTCTGTTAATGGTTATTCTTCGGAATCTTTCATTGCCTCATCGGGGGTTCCTGAAGGTAGCATTTTAGGTCCCTTACTCTTTGTATTATTTATAAATGATGTGAGTTCTTGTTTTTCATTTGCTAAATTTTTGCTGTATGCTGACGATTTAAAAAGTTTAGCTGTGATTGAAAATTCGCATGATGCGCTTAGACTTCAGTCCGGGATTAATATTCTACACAGCTGGTGTCTCAGCTCTCGCCTTTCTCTGAATATTAAAAAATGTTTTCAAGTTACTTGTTCCAAGTCACAGTATTCTTTTGACGTCTTATGTAATCTCTCTAACTCAACTTCAAAAAGTTCAAGAAATCGAAGACCTTGGTGTAATTTTCAGCTCTAATTGGCATTTTAACAGTCATATCAGTCACATCATTTCTAAAGCTTACGCTGTGCTTGGTTTTCTCAGGCGTCAGAGCTCAATGTTCTC